CGATCTTTCATATATTCATTTGCATTACCACATTTATATACGACTTTGCGCTGAGAAGGCATCATGCTCTGCTAGATACGAATTGGCTCCAAACATTCATAGAGATTGTGAATCCGCGCTTAGTAATCGTTAGTAAACCATCGACTATGGCGTCTAAATTAGGAACAGCAACCTCATGTCAACGTCGCCTACGAAAGCGTATTTAAAATTAGGTTACAGATAGCTTTTATCTGGTTGTTTATCGTGTCATGGTTACCAGCAGAAACAACCGTGAATTATTTCACGAGGAGAAACTTTAGAACACCTGGAAGCTGCTGTTTATTTTTCAATTTCAGTTTCTTTATTTATGTTTCTGCTGCCCTTTGCCCCCTTTCATCTTTTTCCCTTTCTTCTGCTTGCCCTTTCTGCTGCCCTTTTTGATATTTCCTCGATATAACAAAGAACCCAAATGCAAATTCTAAATTTTAAAGACAGTGCTGGGAATATAAAACAAGCTTTACTGATATTTACTCAAACTAACAGGTAGATAGGGTCAAGTAGAATGTAATGTATATACAGCAATCTTCAACCTTTCACGTTCTTTGTATCTAGATTGCAGTTTGTCTTTGATGTCAGGTTATCTTGTCATCTTTTTCTTTAAATACTCAAGACGGTTTCGATGCAACACAGATCTAACTTGAAAGGACAGGAACATGCAGAACCTACCTGGGAAATATCTTTTGAAATAATTACTTTGTGTTTTCAACATTAAGTTTCACTTTTCAATAGTTTTGATGAAATTCACAATGATGTATATAAAACTACATCTCCTATGGGATCCATAGCCCTTAACTTCCCTATTTTCAGTTCGAAATCCGAATTATTAACACTGAGCTATATCTAACCTCGTTTCCAGGATGTGGGATGAAGAGAGACTCTGGGATCGAGACTGAGCTACACCTTCCATTGTGTCGTGTTTGGGTTATTATCAGAGTATTTTGAGAGGAATTTTTTGGCGTATAAACCTTCTTGCGCTTAATGGTCACTGAGCGAATTAAATAAGTTGATAGTGTTTTTGTGCAGTAGAATTGTTGCTTCGCAAACGATTTTCTTCTTGTTGTTGTAGCTTGAATTGCTATTTCTAAGCTGATTCCACTAGCTGTAGACGCTTTCCTAAGATGTTGTGATGATTGCTACACCAAGCAGTTACCTTCTTAAGCAGCCAAACTGTCTGACTGTGTCCTTTACTGCTTGTCTTATCTCCTTCATCTTCCAGCAGTATAGAAATGGATTAAGGGATGAGTTCAACAAAAGTAAAGACATTGTTACAGCCCAAGCCAGGTTGAGGGCTTGTTTATCTATTCCAGATATTACAATAAAAGCTGTGAGAGTACTATATGGAAGATAACAAGCCAGTAATGTCATCTGTATCCACAGTGCACTAGACACTGTTTTCCTGTATCTTGCTATATTCAAAGTGATTCCTTGTCCATCCAGTTGACCTTGGTGAACTTCTCCTTGCACTTGAGTTTCGCGATGGCGAAGCGTGAGATAAATCTTCATGTAACAGAAAGTTGATGTTCCAATGCACAACAGAAGAATTACATAAGCGATGTTTAAAGCAATGTGGAAGTTATAAAACGCTACTATTACAATAGCAGCGATGAAAAGCCAAAGGGAGACAACAAAGACCGATGTTCGTCTCAAACTTACTACCTGTCTATATCTTAGCCCCAACATCAAGGCGAGAAGTCTGTCTACACTTATTGCAGTCGTTGTTAACACAGATACTGCGCAAAACATTCCACCTATGGTCTCAAAAAGGATTGTGAGATAATAACAAAGCTTGGAGTGTTCTGGGGACATAAATAGAGCAATGCGAATAGGCTGGGTTATGAGCCCTACACCAAGATCAGTGACCGCAAGGCAACCCAACAAAAGTCTTGACGGTGGATGAAGAAACGACACCTTTTGAAGAGCAACAATGATCAGAACATTGCCCAGAAATGCAGAAATAGATTGAGGAATATTCAATGCTGAAATGACTATCTTCTGATCTATTCCAATACCAATTGTGCAGAAGTATTCTTTGGTGATGGTGTAGTTTCCTTCTTTAGTTGAGTTCTCCATTCCCAGATTCGGGCAGGTCAAGGCTAGAGTTATTATTCTTTAAATTTGAGAGATCAATCCTCTTACGAAGTACGTTTCCAACAATCCTTAGTCCACTGCTTCTATTTTTTCTGGTGATTAGAAAGAAGAGTTTTAGTCTTTGCGGAATTTCCCACCCATAAAGAGTAACAAATAGCTATTTGGAGTCAGTTTTCTAATCTCGCAAGGTGTAGGATGTATGATTTTCTTCTCCGAGTATCTAGATAATATTATAAGCATGTGGCCTGTACAAGCACGTTTGTTCCGGTTCATAGCAAGTTTCGTTTTCTCTAAAATATATCGGCTGTGACACTTGCAACAGAATAAGCTATCTATAAATATTCATGTAAACTTTGATCTTAGTTGTCATGTAGTGTGAAGGGAAATATCACATGTGCATCCTTGGCCATTCTGTGCATTTGCCTGCGGCCTCAGACTTCTGCCGTCTCCTGCTATAAAATTTGCTTTGAACAACAGCTGAAACATTTTTCTCTCTCCGATTGGCTGTCATATGCACTTGTAATGGGTTAGTGTTTCCTCTTAGCATTCGTTTGCATAACTTAAATGTGGGATCATCATCAAGACATTTTGCAGCCACCTTTCTGTGGTTTTGCTTTCCTTTTTCACCTTAAGCGTTAAACGACAAAAGACTGTGAAAAAAATTGCAGATATGACGACGAAATGAGTTATTTATCTTTCGCCGATTTTCATGAGATTAAGACGTGAGAGTGTTAATGTTAATCTTTTGCCCTATGACAGAATATCTAAACGAAACAAATACGTTCAGAGCATTTAACTTCTTTTGGGAAACACCTGTTCCTGGCGAACTGACTATCGTTTATCGAGAATTGAGCTACTTTGTCTTAGGTTCGGTTTACCGACGTTTTCTCGATTAATTACAAATTAAAACAGTTTATGAGAAAAGGTTTTTTGAAGTTAAACTAGGGCAAAGTTTCGGTGGCACAAACAGGGTGTTTGAATAACTATTTGTCGACATGAAAGGTGCCATTATTGTCAGAATAACTCAATTCATGATTATTCAAACTTTAAGCTTGTCATTTTCGCAATTCGTTGGTTTTTATCTTCTACATCTATTTTAATGCTCTCTAGACTAGAGGGACGAGCGCGCCTTCTATTTTCAAGGGTGTGAATTTTACCTTTTTACTCTGTGCGATATCAAAGACTGCTTTGAAAGGTACTTTCTTGAATTTGAACGGCTCAGCAATTTTAATGGCTTAGATTGTAGAACCTCTCAAGAAATTACATAATCCTTTTTACTGTAAAACTTTTTCTAGAGGCCGAGGGCGAGAAACACGGCAATTTTCGTTCATGAAATCTAGCGTTTAGAGTTAGTGTCCGTGTACCAAGTAGTAAAGTACTTGATTTTACAAACATAACGCCTTGCCATTGATGTCATTGATCATTTACTGCAAGTCTGTGAAGATTCTTGTTTCGTTTCGATTTAACGACCGTTGTAGTGAAACGAAATCCCCTGCAACAAACACCCCTCACCTCTTTGAATATTTCAGCGTACTCATAGTTTGTCAATTTTCTTGGATCAACCGACGCGTTGTACATTAAAAGCCCGGAAAGTTTGAAAAGGGTTTGACATTTTCCTATCAAGGAAAAGTTGTGTTACGTAGTTTCCATATATCAATGAGCTTATAGTTTAAATTGAAAGAACTAAATTGCTTGAAAGATGGTTACCTACTCCTGAGCTCTTCATGTGAAGTCGCAGCTACTTGCATCAACATGAATTAGTTATTCCACCCGGAGAAAGTTGAACACCTCGCAGCTGCTGATTGTAGTTTTGTAAAGATAATTGATGATCTTTTATAGGGTGGTCCGCATTATGCTTTTTTGTTTTGACATATTGATTTATTTTAGTCAATGACTTTGAATTTCAAGTCTCCTTACGATTTATGGGATTAAAACATGCAACGCTCGTTGAACAAAGCAAGAGAGTTTGAGGAACACTTTAACAGTCAGATATTTTGTCAAAAACTCGGTTTTGTGAGGGTTAAAAGACACTTGTTTGTCTGGGCGTGTTTATGTGGTCCATAGAAAGTGGCATGAATTTCAGTCGATATAAGCACGCTCGCTGTAGTATGTACTAAGATTTTGGTATTAGATGCCGTAAGTTTTATTTCCTGTACATAACGGTAAAATAGAAATTCTCCTTTAGTGTGTGATTGGCACTTTTCTTTTAATATATTGATATTACTTTGCTTAGGAAGATACCGAAAATTTTAAAGTGTCATTTAGAATGACTTAACAGCCCCCGTCGATCATTGTTTCGTCGGGTCATTGGCCATTTGTAGCCTCAGTTAATTAAACATACGTATGTTTAAACTAAAACTGCAGGATAAGTGTTACATTGTTCAGTATGTTCTGGAAAAGCTTAGTACATAAGTTCTGATTGTCATGCAAACAACGAACGTAATTGAACGGCACCAACTCATCTAACTCATCCGTTAAAAAGCTTAACTGTTCAGCAAATGCCTGCTGTATAGCACAATTGTTCGAGTCCTGTTAATCGGAAATTGTGAAGTACGTAGCAGCTGTTTACAAATAAAGGCAGAGAAACAAAAGAAAAGAGACAAAGCTAAAAGTCCTCGTCTGTTCCGCTCGCTGTTAGACATGTTTATTTTTCTTTCTCTTGTCACGATAAGAAAGCAAACAACGTACAGACCGTGCAATCGGCCAATAAAATATATTGCAAACAGCAATTTTATGGCAACGAGCATTCGTGAGCGCACTGAAAGCTTGGTGGAAGTGTTCATGAGTGCTCGCCCCACCCCCTACCCTGTCAAGTCTCCCGTTTTGCGCTGACTTCCAGTTCTCTCGCGATTCTATGCGCGCGTTCAACGATCGAATAAAAATACGAGAATATAGAGGGCTGTGAACAGTCTAGTGGTAAAGATACGTCGTGACATTGTCAAAGGTGTTTTTTGCTTCTCGTCGAAATACGCCGAAAGGCTCGCCGACGCTGGCGAAGCTTTTGGAAAAGAAGCGTATTATTAACCTTCTTTACATTACTTTTTAAGATAGCTCGTGCCTTGAAATACTTACTACTTAATCCTCTTCGTTCCCTGAGGGACATAGGGTAACAACAATTAATCTCTCTCCATTTATCCCTATTTTGCACAGTTTGTTGTGCCTTGTCCCATGTGAGGTTTACCTCACTGAGCTCGGCCATGGCAGGTCGGTGGCAGGTTTTTTTGGCCCACCAAGTTTTTTGTGCCTCTCAAATGACCTGGGCTGTCTTTGTCGTCTCGTGCATGGTGCAGGCATTTCATGTTCCCATGAAATCTTAGCTTTGGGCCCAAGTAGGCTACCTTTTACGCTCCTGACTTGCTGTGGTGGGCTTTCATTAGAAGCGGTCATACTGCCGGCGGGCTGGCTTCAGGCAACTGAACGGTCTATGGTAAAAGTGTTGTGATTTCGTTGTTTCTGTGACTGGGCGTTTTTTTAACGAGCTAGGGTCGTTAACACCATACTCAATCCCTTGTCCGGAGGGCCAGGTGCTGTAGCCGGTTTGTCGTCTCGCTTGGGACCTGTCCTACTTGGTTAAACCTGCCAGGGGTCAAGACCCCCCGACATAGCTCGCCGGAGCCAAAAGACACCCGAGCCTCACCACCACGGCAAGGACACAGCAGAAGGTCAAAATTGGATCATAATGGCCAACAGAGACATGAAATTATACCACGCAGAGAAAGTTAAAAAACCACACAGAAACACAACGCAGCTGTTGTTTGTCTGTTTATATTTTTTGTTCCTCCTTTCCACGAATATAAATACAACTTCTACAAAATAAAGCAAGGACCATTTTAGCACTTGTAATTTAATGTACTCTAAGTTTTTATACGATTGAAAGTTGAATTCGAGACTGTAGTGTGGTTCTTTATTCTTTATAGAACATTGCCTCAAAACCTGAACTGAGGGATGTTCAGTATATCGCACCGTTAACTTGATAAGCAGCGGAATTGTCTGATTGTGTCCTTCACTGCTTGCCTTACTTCCTTCATCTTCCAGCAGTACAGAAATGGATTTAGTAACGAGTTTAACAAAAGCAGCGAGATTGTTACAGACCAAACTAGACCTAGGGCCTTTGAATCTGATCTAGTTATAACAACTGTAGCTGTGACTATAGCATATGGCAGATAACAAGCCAATAATGCCAGCTGCACCCACAGTACACTAGACAGTGTCTTTTTGTATCTTGCTATATTCAGTGGAATTCCTCCTTCATCCAGTTGTCTTTGGTGAACTTCTCCTTGCACTTGAGTTTGGTGATGGCGAAGCGTGAGATAAATTTTCATGTAACAGAGAGTTGATATTGCAATGCACAACAGCAGAACTATATGAGCAAAGTTCATGGCAATAAGGAAGTTATAAAACGTTAGCAACGCGATAACAATGCTAAAAATCCAAACTGTAACAACCAAGAACCATGCTCTTCTCAACGTTATAACTTGTATGTATCTTAGCCCTAAAATGAGGGCGAGAAGTCTGTCTGCACTTACTGCGGTGAGAATGAACACAGATACTGCGCAAAACATTGCACCTATACTCTCGTAAAGGAGTTTAATATAGTAACAACGTTTGTAGTGTTCTGGGGACATGATATAGCCAACGCGGAGATGCTGGGTAATAAGACCCACACCGAGATCGGTGGCCGCAAGACAACCTAACAATAGTTTTGATGGCGGATGAAGGGACGTCACCTTTTTAAG